AGATGAGCATAAAGTAGGGAGCTTGAGTCCCAGAAGTAACTTGGTAAAGGAGAAGGGATCCTACTTTTCCCAAACAAATGAGTAAAAAGAAATGAAACATTAATGAAAAAACTTACTCAAGTCATAGCATTTTACTAACAAGTATTTATCTTCTTCATAGAGTTACACGTCAGTTCTCACTATAATTTGAAATGACACTTTTAAAGTATGCAAAAAACAGATTCTCAAGTGTTAAAGGAACTCCAAAAATAACTGAGGCTACCCATTATTTTCTGGTAAAGATTATAATAAAAATGAAAAACAATTGTGCTTCTGTTTATAAAATTTGGTGGAAAAATATAACATACCTATTTCTGTCAATATCTGTTTCCATTTGGGGACCTCAGGAATATCTGGGTTCTCCTCCAACAGCTCTGTCAGCTTGTCCTTCAACTCCTGTACTTTGTTTACATTTTGCTTCAGTTCTGCCTCAAATGACTAACAAGGAAAAAAATAAATTACACTAGAATACCAACATCAAAAGACAAAAACACAAGTATGATACACTTTTTTCTCTAACATGACAAAAGAGAAAAAAATCCACTGTTAAATGCAAAAGTGGGTAAAAACCCAGATTCAGCAGTTAATTCTTTTCGTTTTCTCATCTCTTCTAGTCTCCTACTCTGGGATAAAGGAATCCCACAAAGGAAGAGTCTAACTATGGATGTAATGACTCTTGTTCTCATTACTGAGGAAGAATTTCATATTCTTAAACCACTATGAAAAAAACTAAGATGTCATCAGTTAAGAATGTAAATTAATAAGTCTGCTTAAAGGCTACCAGGATTTGAGAAGTAAGGAATAGCCCCTTTTACAACATAGAGTAAAGAGTATTAGTGTATGTCAGTAATCTGTAGAAATTTTTGCCATCATCACCAATATGGAAAAACATTTTCCCAATCTGACAGCTCTAAGAAAGAAATACCATCTAAGAAAGGGAAAGCACTAGCTACCCTATTTTATACCAGCCAGAAGACAAACCTGGTACAAAATTTTTCCAACGGTTGAATGACTGGTATCCAAAACTGACAGACAAGCACATTAAACAAAACTGTCCAATCATTAGATGAAGGTTACAGATCTAGAACCAGGAAGAGCTCTTGAGCCCAGGGCTCAGATGCAAACGTCAGCCTGTTCTCCTCCCGGTCTACAGTGAGTCCACCCCACAATGCACCTTATTCTGCTCAACTTGAGTCCTCACAGCTTCAGTATCAGCAGGTGTTGGTGTCTGATGCCATTCTGCCGCGGTCTTGTTCATTTTCTGTAACCACTGCATCATTGCACTTGATTCTTCCTGAGCCTTCTGCAATTTGAAGAGTTTGGTATTCAGTTCAGCTACTTTGTCCTTGAGTAAGAGGCCGAGATCTTCATAACCATGACTTATGTCAGTCATGTCCTTCTTAATGGATGTTAAACCTAGGAGTGAGAAAATAATTATGCTGACACACGTCCGGGGTGTTGGGAATAAAGGTCTAGAAATAAAAGTCTGTTTTACACAAATATTCCCTTTTATTTTGTCACCCTTAAGCACATTATGATACATTACAGGCTTTTTAGAACTAAAAGGTTAGTTCATCTTATAATGCTATTTAATAACAATTCAGGAAAATATATGTGAAATTTAAAAAGGCATTTTGAATGGAATAAAATATTCAAATAATAAAATGTATTCCTCTGGCATCAAATTCAACAAATTAGCTCAAAAAAAGTGTTATTCCAAGGGATAATATATCTCAAAATAAAAAGAAGCAAACAAAGCCAGTGTCAAACTAAAATACTGGATTTCACAAATTTCAGATGAACAATGTTTATAAAAAGTTACGTAAATATATTTAAGAAGATTGTAACTATGTGTATTATATACTTCAACTTATAATACAGCTACTCTTCTTTTACATTTTCTCTCAAAATCTCACATTAATCAACAATCACTTAAAATCAGTATTCACCTCTGCTTGTCAAAAAATCCTGTGTATTTGTGTCTGTTCCTTCACCATTTAATGTTATTCCACCTGCAAAATATGAACACCGAAGTAATCAGATTTCTCTAGTATACCTACACACACTAATACCGTATATCATTAAAACCAACCCTTTAAACAGTAATTATTTGAAACTGTTATTTCTATTTAAAAATGTAAACTACTGACTCAACTTTAGGTGAAGGCCCTTGTATCTTCTACATAAAATATATTCTGGGTTGGGTGCTGAGGATTGAACCCGCTGTCTTACACATGCTAGAAAAGTGCTCTACCACCAGGCTATATCCCCAACCCTATATATTTAATTCTTAAAGTACAACGTGATCATCTTTTAAATACTAGATTTCTAAAAAAAGCAAACAAAAAGCAAAAACTAGACTTCTACTCATTTGTATTACATAAACTAGTCATTACATAGTTACAAAAATTTCCTGATAAAGTTGCTCTATAGCTAAAGTTATCTTAATGATAAAATTCCTGAGTTAGGAGGATGCTCAGAATACATGGTGTTGAACACAGCATGATGAGAGGTGAACACAGAGCACCTGCTTTACCCAGGGACTGAACATGGCCTGGGAAGTCACACAGTACTGTCACGGGCTTCATGGAGGCAGAATGATTTTAAAAGGTAGGACAGGAGAGTTAAAAATAAAAACAAAACCCAGAGTGAGTACAGTGGCTGGGGCACCTGGGGGGTTTTGCAGTGCGAGCATCTGAATTAAAATCCCAGCCCCACTAGCTGTGGGCACCAACAAACTCATCAACCAACTGGGGTGGAATAACAACGCCTAACTGGTAAGGGTACTGTGGGGACTAAAGTCAGTTTACCCACTGCTAGCAAACGGGAGCTACTCAGTGGGTGGTAACTATTACAGTATTTCTCTTTCATTTTAGAACCCTCCAGCACTGGCACCTTTCTAGACTCAGATATTTAAGGGCCAGAGATTTAGCTCAGTGGTTCCACTGCCTGTCTTGTAAGCACAAGGACCCAAGTTCAATCCCCAGTACCAAAAATAAAAAAAATAATAATAATAGAATCAGTTTTTTAAAAAAATCAATTATACTTTCTCATACTAGTATCCACTGGTCACCTATTGAAAACACAAAGACATTTCTCAAACTGACCACACAAGAACAAAATGAAACAAGTACAAACATTTAAAAATTTGAGGGCCAGGGGTTTGGCTCAGTGGTTCTGCTGCCTGCCTTGCAAGCACAAGAGCCTGAGTTTGATCCCCAGTACCCAAAAAAAAAAAAAATTGAATATTGAGTAAGTAAAAAGTGAAAATAACCTGTAGCTAATTCCTACCCTAGCTAGGAGTAACCAAACTCAACAAACAATAACAATATATATACATATATGTGTATATTCATTCATTACAAAGATAAAAGGGACATGAGGAACTAAGATAAAACAAAAGAATTCCTTTTCTTTAAAAAAAATACACAAACTTGACATTTCAGGAAATCTAATTAGGAAAGAGCAGAAGTCTACACAGCATGAACAATATGGGCATCCCCAAAACAGAACTAATAGAGTGGAATAAGTGGGCGGCGAAGAAAGGCCCGGCCGGAACATCAGAGTGACAACAGGAACAGCTGACGCCTGGTCTGCCTAGATAAATCACAGTGGCCACACAGAAGCTCCCAATCAACGTATGCAATGGCCTTCTGCCCATTTTTGGTTTTTTTTCATCTTGATGCCGTATGTTTTAAACTAAAAACTATTCCCATGACTTACATTACTTTCAGAATCAACTTTTACACCTTGTTTGTTCAGAAGAGTGGCTCAACCATGACTGAGATGGAGAGGGAGCTGCCAGTGACACACTGCAGTACTGCTTTCTCTGGGACAGAGTACAGAATAAAGCTTTTGGGAATGGAATGAGAGTGCCACCCTGCAGAACAGAGCCTACTTCTTTCTATCACTTTATTCCCAAGAGAAGAGATTCATTTCATTGTCAAATACTGTGTGACTAGAAATACTTCAAATAGAGTATCAATATCTGCATTTAATAGGAAAGTAACAAACTAGAATGTTCTGTCCCCTTCCCCAAAATAACACTCCTTATTCTTACATATTAATTTGGATACATTTTTTTTTCCTTTTTTTTTTTTTGGTACCAGGGATCAAACTTGGGTCCTTGTGGTTGCAAGGCAGGCGGCGGCACCACTGAGCTAAATCCCCAGCCCTGGATACATTTTTTTAAATATAGTATTTAACAAAGTGAAACACGGCAGGGATTAGCACAGATATTTTTCCATGACAGATCTTAGTGTTTAAAAACTTCTGCCTTGTATTTCGGAGGTTACTTTCTGCACATAATATAAAAAGTAACACAAAAATAAACATAAGTAGCCCCAATTCTTATAGCTCTACTGTAAATAAAGTGCATACCTGATTTAACTGCTGCTATTGCCTTCGCAGGGGTGGTCACAGCACTTATGATGTTACACAGTGAGATGCCATTGTTGTTTACTTTCTGAATCTCTGGTGTTTTTAAACTCCACTTTTCTTGTAATTTCTTGAGATACAAAAATACATTTTTCAGTCTTAATATCAAAGATGCCCATCATAATTCAATTTCTTAAACATATTTTAAAGTAATAACAACTGTGGACTCTGATTTGTGAGGGATTTAATGGAGGAAAAAAGCACCATCTTCACCTGCCCCAAGGCCGGGGTCACTGTTCTAACACATCAGCAATGAGAAGGGGTGGGGCCGTGCTGCACTCTGCTCCCAGCCATGGTGGGATGAGGCTGTGCCTAGCTGCCACAGATTCCAAAGTAACTGTCAATTGTAGTCTGTACTGGGACCAGCCATGTTCAAGAGGAAATGTACACAGGAATTCAGAATCCCATGTCACAGTGAGTTTTCACCATCACAATTTCAGTGAATTTTTTAAAAAGCCTACTTCCACAAATTTGGAAATGAAAAACTGTCATAAGTTATTATAGTTGTTAATAATTTGGAATCAGATGACAAGACTTGTGCTATGTGTACAGGAGATTCAAATAACTCCAATACTTGTTAAGGTGATATACCCAACAGCGTCAAATTCTGAGTAAGAGAAGGATCTCCGACTGACTGTTGTAAGAAATGGTATCAAAAATAACTGAAACTGAGTAGAGATTTAACAGAGAAATAAACTTGGATATGAGAACACTTAGTAACTCAGTAATATGCTTTTAAAAGAAAAAAAAGTTAAAGTATTTACACCCTTCCTCAAAAGGATGTTTATGTACATGTTAGCATTTCTGAAAATCTATAGCACATGTGAGATATACATTACATGATTTTTCAGATTTAATGAGTCACCTTTGTTAGTTCCAGAGATTTTCCTAAATCTTCTGCACCAAAGGAGGGCTGCAAAATGGGGACCTGCTCTGCTGTTTCTTTTATCCATGACTTTAGTGATTTAACAAGGACTTGGAACACTTCCAGTTGTTCCTGACAAGAAGTTGCAGCTTCTTTTCTAGTTAACAAAAATCATAACAAACTGTAAGCCACAAAAGAAGTTCCAAAGGATGAATTACTAATCAATAATTTTTTATTTGTTTGTTTTATTTTGTTTCTTTGGTTTTCTGAGACAGGGTCTCGCTTTGTAGTTCAGGCCGCCCTTAAACTCATGGTGCTCTTTCTACCTCAGCCTCTAGAGGGCTGGGATTACTGGGTTAATCAATAATTTTTATTCCCATATTGGGCTTAATATTGAAAAGCACCCTCCATGCAAAGCATCACCCTTTGATACAGGAGGAAAGTTTTCATAAGTGGCAAGTGAAATGAGCTAAATAAGTATTCCTCAAAGAGAACTCTGTAACCCATAGCACTTTCAAATGCTACATAAATTCTAAAGACTACAGAAATAGTTTTAACATTATTTAGATTCAGTGAGATTCAGTGTTCACGCCATGTTATAGAAAAAGCAGTTACAAATCACCCACAAAAAGAATACATAGTGCCACCTAGTGGTTCCTATATTACCCTACAGTCATGGTGGATGGGTTAAACAGTGCTTCCAGGAGCTAAATCACAGTGTTAGTGGGAGCCTCACTCGTGGACTCAGGAAGCTTAACAATGAATTATGTGGATCCCCCCATGTGCTCAGTACCACGAGGGAGCATACAAGCTCAGCATGCGCACTGTGGGGACAGTGCCACATGACGTGTGAACGACACATGCACTCAGTGTATGGCACTTTGGCAGACAGGAGTGCACTGCAGCTGCATGGTTTACTAATAAGTACATGGTTTTAAAGTTGGACCCGCTTGAAGGAGTAGACAACCTAAAGATTACCAGAAAACCAAGAACATTTCCTCAATGAAGTGTGAATTAAGTATCACAGGACATGACAAAAACATAGCTGTATGAGCAGTAAAATAACATCTAAAAGTTTTACAGAATTCCAAAGCAATTAAGTAGCTGATAAGGAAATAGCTCCTTTCTATCTTTTAGGGGTTTTTCCCTATGAGGTATCTGCAAAATCAGATATGTATGCTAAACTGATCCCAAATCAGAGATGCAAAAGCTCAGGTACAAGGCTTATCCCTGTGCAGCTTTTTAGTTTGAATCAGGTTCATTCATTTGTTTTTTCATGGACTCATGGTTCATCTAATCTTTAAAAAGTAAACTGTTAAACAAAAAGGCCATTAAGAAATGGCCATATTGAAATTATGAACAGCTTCTGAAATGGTCCAGAAAGCAAAGAGCCATCTGTCTTTCAAGGTTATTTTTCATCTTTGCAAATAAAAATGTGGTATTTGTCAAAGGTTTCAGAACCTACAGTGAGTTTAATATGTTTTCAGTAATACCACCTCCATTTTTCTTATGTAATGTTTTCCACTTTTATGGAAAAACATGGAGTTTTCCTCATAAGTATTTTAGCAAATCATGTACTTAATTCTTATAGCAAAAATTATCAAAATATTAAAACACTTAAGTAACCTCATACTTATTCTCATTTCCAAATTTTAATCAATTATCAATATAAATAAATACAAACATCTCATCTAATTAGTATCAAGAGGAATAAAATGCAATTTTTGAAGTGGAGCTTACTTTTCTTTGATGGTATCCTCCATTTCTTTGAATTTCTTAGACAAATTATTTGTTTTCTCAAAAACCAGAGCTTTATCACCTGGTAAGCCATGGCTAGATATCTCCGTCAAGAGATTATGTAAAGCTTCAAGATCTTTCTTGTGCTCTAAGAATTCAAAAGTTGATTCCTACAAAGCATTTAGATTTAGTCAGTAAAGATGCTGCTTTATTATCTAAGGCCCCATGGGGTGTATGGGACAGAGGAGCTCTACTGCAAACTTCACAGAAGAGTGTGCCATGCTCTGGTTCACAACGGATATAATAAACATGCAGGGAGGCAATCTGAAAAAGAACAGAGTCCATTGTATTTCATTTTAAAATGCACTCTGTATTTTGACTGTCAGTGGATTCTGGCACATAAGACAGTATTTATAACTTCTATGGTTTATTTCTATTCAATAGGCAAAGGTAAAGGAGAAGGGCTTGAGATTGCCAAAGGATGAAAACACCCATCATTATTAATCCATAAGCAACCCAAATGACAACTATAATTATAATTCTGCCAGTCAATGGACGAGTTTGTCTTAATTACTGATTAAGCTCAGCCTCAGAAGTACTAAGAAGGCTTGCCTGCAAATACTGAGACAATTCAGTGACATCTTTTCCTGGCACATCAACCTCAGCAAGAGCCTGAGTTTTTGTTTCTAAAAACGCCTGGAGCTTTTCTGAGAGGCTTTCAAACATTTCTACTTTGGTTTGCAGCTCCTCCATTTTGGCAAGTTTTTCTTTGTGTTTCTGACTGGCTTCCGAAAACCGAAGAGACAGGTCCTTCATTTTAGCCTGCAGTGAGGAAGCAGTGGATGGGTCTGTTGTTTCCATAAATGTCTTCACTTTTTCATTCATGGCATTTATACTACTTTGACGACCTGCAATATCCTGTTCCAACATCTGAAATAAACCAAATATTGCATATATTTTATAATGATGCTTACAAATAACAGCAATTTAGAAACTACTATTCCTAACAAGGTAAGCTTGAAACACTGGTGATTAAAAAGGTGAACAGTTGGAACTGAAGGACAACATTGACTTGTGCCTTGGGGAGTCCCACTCAAATCTCTTTCAGGGAGAGTGGGGAACAGCTGGCTAGTTGTGCAAAGAGGCAGGGGGCTGCTGCTACTCAGCAACCCTCGGATGTAATGGAGCCTGGGTATTAGGCATGGTCCTAATATTTAAAAGGCTAGACAATAACACTGATCTGACACACTTCATCAGATGAGCTTCCTGTGCAGCTGGCAACAGCATGATAACAAGATAAGACTCCATAGACGATAAGCACTCACGAGGAATGACACTCATGACAAGGAGACAAGCCCTCCTAGGCTCCACCACGGAACAGTTACTTTATACACTTGTTTGTACTTTTCATACTGCTCTCTTCAGGAAACAGCTTTTTCTTAAAACCTTGAATTCACCCTAAATCTAGCTATCCTTGGTGTTTACAAAACTTTTTTTAAAAAAACTGTTAAGTGGAGGATTTTTTTTAAAAAGCACTACTTACAATATTTTTGCGGATGAGATCCTGAAGCGCAGCAGAGTTCAAGGGCACCTGACCCTGTTCCTTCAGGGAGCTCTCCACACTTCTCATCCAGTCCAGCATCTCATCCAGGCCGTCCTGCACACTCAGGGAGCGGGTCAGGGTTATCTGGAGTTTTTCATTCCGCTCATGAACAGACTTGGACAGATCATCGTATCTCCCAACAATGTCATCTAGCCCAAACAGTAGGAAATGTTAACCATAAAGGGCTCTTGGCCCCATCCCTTTTCTTAAAAATACACCAAGGTGAACTCTAAAGCTTCCATACAAAATGAGAGAAGGAAAAAAAGTTTAAATGCTAAAGCCATAATCAGATTACCACCTAAGCCCTAAGAAATAAAGAAACAAATCTAGCAGAAAATAAAAAGTTGGAATTTTAGAAAACAATCAGTGGCATATAGAAGAGATCTGTGGATGCATATATATTTGAACTATCCCAGAGAAACGAGAGAACACTCCAAACATCAAACTTCTGGAATACATGGTAAGTGTCATTCTGACATTTAAAATTAGCAATACTTACTGCTAATTATTTAGGGGGAAAGTGACAGTCATACAAAAGTATTCTCAAGGAACTACACAGTGATAAAGACTTTCCCATAATTAACCTTTAAGTATAAAAATTATCTGTCCCTCGCTGTTGTACACAGAATGCTAAGCTTTTGTTATCCTTCCTAACTTTGGAGGGTACTCAAATGCACAAAAACTGGCATATGAAAATCAAGTAAGAAAGCAGAATGAAAATCTACTTAAAACTGAGATCATGCTTCTAAAATACACTCAAATAAAATTTACTTTAAAGTTTAATAGTAGACAAAAGGGAAAATAGACTAACCTTTTTCATAGGACATAAACTTTACTTTCAATTTCAATTATTAAGATGCTAAAAAATGCTTTCAAGGTGTTCAAGGGATAATACTTTCAATGTACCTCCTTCAAGCATCCAATGTGCATGTACAAGATGATGCACCAAGGCAGAGGAATGCAATGTCACAATTTCCATCCATACTTTCATTTTACGCCTTATAATTTCTTATTTTTGTGTCTTATAATTACAATGTATATGACATAATATGGTAATATGTGCATATAATTCGTAAGTACATGTGCATGTGTGGGGGCAAGTTGAAGTGACCGATGGGGCACGTGATCAAAAAGGTCTGGAAGGGCCAGGGACTTGGCTCAGTGGTTCTGCCGCCTGCATCACAACAGCAAGGGCCCAAGTTCAATCCCCGGTACCAAAAAAACAAAAAGTCTGGAAGACAGTAAGAATGAGAAAAGGATTTCCCTCCTAGAGAGTGGCTTTAGATCAATGAATACAAGTTTCCCTCCTTCAGTTCATATAAAATTTCGACTCAGGCTTTAATTCACTCTCTATTTGGGATGAAATAGTAGTCATCTGCTGTGGAAATTACAATTTCCCACATGGGCACATACAAACTCCCACATTCAGGGTCACCATTTCACAGAGAAAGATCACAAATAATATAACATCTGATTGTGTGATTTCCTACGTATCTATTAGAATATTTAGAATTTACCTGTGAGGCAGGAAACAAAAACACTAAATATCTTACCCAGTGTTTTCTGGATATCATTCTTGGCTGGAAGTAAGGATCCCCTGGCATCTAAAAGCACTTCAACTCCTTTTTTCAGTTTCTCCACGGCAACCTGCTGACTTGATATCTGTCCTTGGAGAGCCTATGGGATTAAATGTTTTTCAATTATACTTGAGAGAACTAAATAGGAATAGATCACAATATGGAAAAAAATGATTTACAATAAAACAAGCTAGCCAAACAAACTAGAGTTGATTTTCCATTATAGAAACTTTTATGATATGAACTTTCTCTGTAGATCTCGGATAACTAAGGACTTCTATATCAGTAGGTCCTGTCTTCACACTAAGTCATATTTACTTCTATGAATTCAATAAAAGTTACTAGACATCTAACAAATTTTCAAAAGCCTTGCCACATTCTGTGAAAATACACAAATAAAACAGATAGGAATCTTATAGCTTATGGCAGAGTTAATCGTCAAAGGTGAGCAAGTAAACCCACTACATTGACAGGAAGGGCAATCAGGGAGGAAAATGAAGGCCACCGAGATGCTGGTGCCAGTGCAGCCACAGTCAGGTCCTGAAGAAAGTGTAGATCTGGGCATGTAGAGACAGAGAGGGACAACAAGCAAACGCACAAATGCAATTCAGAAATATCTCTTAAGAGTCTTATTTAGCTTAAGGATATATATATGGTGAATAAATGGAAACAGAGGTGGAAAGGCCTTAAATGTTAGGTTAAGCAGTTTCCATTTTTCTGGTAGCCGTGGAGAACTATTCAAGGCTTTGAGTAGGAGTGAGCATGTGCTAGGGACCAATCTATAGGAAGGCCAAATTTGCAGCAATGCATGGGAAAAACTGGGGGGAAAGAAATGAGGAAGAGAATCCAGCTAGGAGCAACCTCAGCAGTAACGAGCAAAGAGGACTCCTGAGGACCAAGGACATTCCCCCTCCCAGGCTGCCTGACAGAGAAAGTGGAGCTGGTTACAGAGCTAAGAAGTCCCATGAACTTGATCATGTTACCTAAAGCTGTGTTACCCATTACAGTAGCCACTAAATAAAGATGACTTTTAAATTAAAATAAAATTAAATAAAAAATTTCTCAGTTGTACCAGCCACACTTCAAGTGCTAAGTAGCTTCCAGTGACTAGTGGCCACCAAAGCAGAGACAACAAACAGGACATTTTCCCCATCCCGAATGCTCTGCTGGCAGCATTGCGCCACAGGGCGAGAATAGGGGGAGAGGAGAAAAGGAGAGAAGGAGCCTTATATTTTCCATCCAGCCCGCATAATTTGCAGAATTTACATACACAGGCAAAAGCAAGTTTAGGAGTAAAGGAGAACCCACTTTAGAGTTCATGATTTCAACATGCTCTTGAGATTTTATACAGAATGAAAGAGCAAAACTGGCAGTGCAGGAAAGTGAACACAAACTAGAGAAACTAGAGATAAAGAAGTAGAAGTCAGAGAAGACCATTAAAGGAGAAACTCCACCAACATCAGAGAAGGAGATGATGCAGAATCCTGGAGAATACTTGTGCTTCTGTGAGGAGAAGAGGGAGACAGAACAAATGCCACCAAGGAAGTCAAAATGAGCCCACAGTGATAATGACCCCCAATTACCCATGTACCCAGCATGGTACTATCCTCTCTTAAACCATCCTTCCCACTTGTAAATTCAACTGTCAAGTCCTGAAAATTTTACCTGTGAGATACAGACTCTGCTCCTGTAACCTCTCATGAGGATTACTGAAAGAAAAAAAAAAAGACTCCTAAATGTGTTCCTGCCCCTAATATATCTAAGACATATCTGACCATTTATCACTCCCCTGTTTAAAATTGTTCCGTAGCTTCCTTTCATAATAAAGGTCAAGCTTTGAGAACATTATAATGAAAACAAAACCTATTCCTTCACGTTGATCATTCTCCACTTACTGACCCAGAAATGCCCAACAGCTATGTCTCAGCTGTTTATATGAGACCTGATGCTTTCACATCTCCACATACCAACATTTTCATGCAATTCACCCCAGCATCAGCCTTGCTCCTATTCACCCTTTAATACTCAGCTAGGAAGTCTTTCCTAGTTCTCTCCTCGCCGAATTGGGTTTACACAGTCCTCCAGGAAAGTCCCATAAGTACCCTGTGAATACTACTGCATTTATCTGTCTCTTGTATCAAACTACAGCCTTCCTGAAAATTGGGAATTTGTCTCATTCAGCTTTCAACAGCTATGCCTAGGCCTGAGCTTGCCTTATAGAAGGCAAGAAACTTTGATAAAAGTTTCTGGAATAAATGAGTAAATTAATAATAAATGCACATATCGAGCTGGGGATTTAGCTAAGTGGCACTGTGCCACAAGCCCAAGGTCCTCAGTTTGATCCCCAGTACCACACACACAAAAAAACAATAAATGCAGATATCAAGCATAAAACCTAGAAAGGTTATCTTCTATTTCAGCATTATTTATTATTTCTTAAAATAAATGTCTCTAGCTAATGGCAAAATTTTCCTTAACTGATTTTTACAGTACAAAAACTATGTGTCACACAGGCAGCCCCCTTGCATACATAGGTTGAAAGACCCACTGAAGTATGTCCAAACATGGAATCTGAGATTGAATACCACATCCTACATGTTCCCAGAGGCCAAAAAGGCCACATCAGAGTGTGTCTATTTGGGGAGACCTTCTAGAAGTTTAGTTAAGAAAGTAGAAATCCACACATGTGAACTTTATCCAAAGCCAAACTGAAGTCAGGCCACACTGCATATTCATGCTAGGAGCTGAAACAAACTTAAGGGTACCCCACACATGCTGTTTTTTAAATGTGAGTTATCTAAGGACAAAGACAAGGTTTTAAAATCTGCGTCTCTTCACAAAACTTAGAAATGGGCCCAGAACACTGATCTTTACTGAATGATTCAATAGATAAATTAAAAATATCCACTACCAAACGGCCCTGCATATTATCTTAAAAACTCAGCAATGGATTACAAAAGAAGTACCTCTTTTTTACTTCTTTTCCTCAAAACATCCTATGCCTTTGCTTCCTGTAATTATAGACAAGAGTTAATAGTTTGTTTGTTTTTTCATTTTGTTTTGTTTTGTTTGGTAACCAAGATCAAACTCAGGTCCTTAAGCTTGCAAGGCAGGTGGCAGAACCACTGAGCTAAATCCCTGGTCCCCAAGAGTTAATAGTTTCTATTCCTAACACGTGTCAGGTTCTAACGTAATGGAAGTGGTGTTGGAACAAAACTACAAGTTAAATCATTCAAATACATGCCTATATCATTTTGAGTAGATTTCAGTGAAATTAAAGCACTGAAGAAACCTCCCTGACCAGAAATAATACAGATGATGACTTTGTCGCCTTCCTGTTGGAAGTACTTGTTCAGCCTATGAACTTTTCCACCTCAGCATCATCCCAAAGATCAGGGCAGCCTCAGACTGACATAATCAGTCAACATGATCTGGAACCCAAATGGTTCCAAAACAAGGCCTCAAGGGTGGTCCCCAAATCCTGTCTTCTGCACCTTTTAAAAGAGGCTGAAATCTTATTGTGTCCATTATTTCTACTGGAAGAGGATCCTGAATGTTACTCTAGCCAGTAGTATCAAACTGTTGGCAATGCAGCTAGCAGTTTTGTTTTTAAAAATAATAATGCTAGTAACTAAATGCTAGTGGGCAGAAATCTTTCAAATAATTGAGTGCCTTAAAGTTACATTGCTTTCTCCCAGAATATAAGTAGAACTTAGTATGTTAAATATGAAAAGATCCTCTGTCTGTGAATAAGCACCTAAATGTAAGAGGTGGCAAAATGTGAGGAGCTGCAGAAGGAAGATTTCTTCCCTGGGCGTGGTGAGAGCCACTCCTGAAAAGGGGATGCCCTAAAGGAATAAAGGTCAGGGTGATTACACCCTTTTTGGGAAAAAAATAATTAATTAAATAAATAAATACAAAAAGATTGATTTTATTGCAATAGTTCTATTTATATAAAGAAAAATAATTTTAAATATCAGTAAAAAAAGAAACGGAGACTACCTAGTACCTGTAAAAATTTACCCTCACTACACAGAGAGAACATCTGTGAGAAAATAAATATATATATATATATGCCAGAAATAACTTCATTTGTACATTTAATTTTTAAAATTAACCCATGGCTTAATTAGAAGTGATTCTCATTTGAGATCTGTCCTTTTCATATTTCTCTAAGTTTTCTGTTCTAAAATTAATCTTTGTATCAATTTAAATAAAGATCTTTTGGGGGTATTTTTACTTTTTCATGTTTTTGCTGATTACATTACTTTCATCCAGGATGTAACCTATTCCCCCCCAACACATATCTAACCTGAAAATTATTATTTCTAATATTTAGATTTTTCTACATTAAAAACACTAACTTCTTAATTAAATGTAATACAATCAATCTTAACAATTATATTAAACCCTTGGCATTTCTTACCAAAAAATTGGCCTTTAACATCACAGTATCTTCTCTGCCCTCAACACACACACACACACACACACAATCAAGTAAAAAGTGAAAACACAGATCTGTTCTAGTGCTTGTGGAAAAGAGGATGAAAATAAAAAGAAACAAGAAGCAGGCCAGAAAACGCACAATGAAAGGAAAGAGGCAGTCCCTGGGGACACCGTATCAGCTGGGGGATACTGACCTGGGCTAGGACACCTCAGTGGTGCCCAGGGTAGGGTGGGGTGAACTCTCCAGCCCAGGAAAGTACAGCACCTTCCTCCCTTTGGATCCCCACTCCACCTCCCTCCTGTCCTCTTTTGCTTCTGTTATAGCTTGTGCTCATACAGTCACAGTGAGGCTTTTCCAAAGTGGCTGGATCTAACTTGTGATGCTGGGATTAAGAGTGTGTAATTACTAAATTAGTCCACTGATTGGTTTGGTATAGTTCTGGGTGTGGATAATGGGAAGGCGCATCCTGGGTGTGAGTGCTATCTTCCTTCACGGTACACAGCCTGGATAGAATACAACAGACAGAAAGAGGGCTACTGTGGGTGACTGATGGTTCTTCACTATTTTATTGCTCTGTTGCCTGCTACCCATCACGAACTGTTTCTCCTCTGCGATGCCCCTCTGCCACACCCCCCTGCCTTGCAGCCAGCCAACTATGGACTGAAAGCTCTACAAACTGTGAGCCAAAATAAACCTTTCCTTGTTTAAATTTAGATGTTGGGTATTTTGTCAAGACAGCTTCTATCCCTTTCACCAGCCTTCCCCACCCTCTGCTTGGCTCTCACCTGCCACATTTACTTCACTTTAGACCTAGCTTTTGTTGTGCTTTATATCTACCTGCTTGGACCAACCCCAAAGCCATAGGCGCTTTAATTAAAGGTGGGCTTTTGGAAGGTGACTGGATTATGGGGCAGTATGACTGACTTGCCGTTAGGAGATGGGATCTGGCCGGAGGAGGTGGGTCACTGTGAGCACGACCTAAAAGGCTGTATTGCCTCCCCTGACTAAGCTTCCTGTCCACCGCAGCTCTCTTCTACCACAACTTCTGCCATGCCAGCCAACTGTGGACTGAAACATGACCAAAATGAACCTCTCCTTCCTTAAGTTGTAGTGTGTAAGGTTTTTTTTCCTAACAACATGGAAATTAACTAGCACAGCCTTCTTCCAGCCAGACATCACTGGACTCCCACAACACCTAAGTTTAAGCTGAACCAGTAAGGTACATGTTTTCCTCATTAATACAACAATGATGATCGTTTTACTCTGTACCTCTCAGGCAACCCTAAAGGCAGTTTTCTACCTGGCAATATTCTGTTTACTTCCTATTCGTGGTGACGATAAGCTAAAAGAAAACAACAGAAATAGAAATGAAACTTTCAAAATCAAAATTATGCTCATATTGAACTCCCATTGTGTAAGAATTTTAAAATATATTAAAAAAAGTAAAAGAGACTTTCTCTACCACTATGGCTATAACAGAGACTCCCTTAATCATGCAGCTATGATATCAAGCATTTCTGAAAAGGTCAGTGCGGGGGACTGGATTCAGTCTAACGTGCTAGGCAAGCAGTCTACGACTGCAGCTATACCCTCAGCCCAAGGGTGGATCTGTAAACTGTGCCAAGTAATAATCAAAGACATTCAATAGGAACCCCAATCTTAGCCTGGAGAAATTCTGAATATTACAGTGACATCTTGCCTTCCCTTCCACTTGTCAATTCTTGAACAAATAATGAACCTCTTTAGGACAGGTAAAAGTGTTAAGTGCTAGGAATATAGCAATGAATTAAACAGACAAAAGTATCTGTTCTCACAGAGCTCAACTATAATGGAAAAGGAAAACCTGAGTAAGATTAAATGCATGGAGAGGAGTAATGAAATGCAGATAAGAAGATGTAACAGTAATGTCAAATCAGCTAAACAGCAGGAAAAACTGGCAAAGCAAGGTCACAACTCCCTGTGGAGGGAGAAGCATCCTCTTCCCATCCTTTGTTCTTTAGGAGAAATTGTCACAAAGTAAGGGAAACTAAAGTCTTTCAGTAATATTCATGAAGGACTCAATCTCTCTTTTTCTTTTTACCTTGGTCTCTTCTAACTGCCTCTGCAGATTTTGGGGGTCCACAGCAACAGGTTCAAATAAGTGTTTGTTGGCCAGGGCCTCCGAAGCCTGGAGTGCAGACAAAAGTCCACAGGAAACATCCTCGTAGTGTTGGTATTTATCCACCAAGTCTTTAAGATTATTCCCAAGGACATTACACTAAAAAACAAAAGATAGGAAGCAATGGAGATTAAATCCCTATTTTCTTGTTTGTCAAATTACCCTAAGAGCCAAAACTGTAGGGCTCAGATTTTTACTTTATATGAGAAAGTAAAAAAGTAACCACAAAAATGAAGATACAGTTCTAGATTTACATCAACTCAAAACAGTATTTATAAGGGCTGAACCTTAACCAAGAATGAAAGAGCTGGGCGTAGTGGCATATCCCAGCACTTGGGAGGCTGAGGCAGGAGGACTGCCTGAGTTTGGGGACAGCCTGAACTACATAGTGAGTTCAAGGCTAGCCCAAACTACATAGAGAGACCCTGTCTGAAAAAAAAAAAAGAAAAGAAAAGAAAGAAAGATAAAGATATCTCAAATAAGAGTCCCTGGGTTTTCTATACTCCGTGTATGTAACTGGCACAGAGATTTGCAAGGCATTTAATAAATCATTTTCATATGTTGCACAAGGTTAATATAAAGAGGAGAGTTTACATTAAAATTAAGCAAAGTCAGAGTCAATGATGCTCTTTAAATTATTTATGCAGCTTGGTAACTCTATGTAGATTGGGTTCTTAGGTATTTTTTCTAATTTTTTTTATTTGTTTAGAGTTTTGAATGTCTGTAAGTCATTAAGTGTGAAAGTTATATACTGATGAAGTAGACGGGTAAGACTGTCTTGTGTGTGTGAAGAGAATTATCTGACATGAAACTTCAGGTCCCAACCTAGACAGACTGCTCCAGCACTGGTGAAGATGCAATTGCTCTCTGGTGGTCAAATGGGTATCAGAGTTGTGCTAGGGCTTCCTGGAATCACTCTCAGAGTAGTTTTAAGCTCCTAATCTTTAAACACATTTTTCAAAAGTAAAGTAGATGTAGAGGTTTTTAGGTTTCCTGCTTCTAAATCAAACAACAAAAATTAAAGAGAAGAGACTGACTTTCCCCTTGAAAAAAGATAGTAAAATTACCTTGAAGTAGAGAGACCTAAACCGATCCGTAGCATGATCTAGCTTGCTCTGCACTTCTTTGTGGGTTGCAGAAGTGTCAACATTATCCTTGTCAACCTTGCTGTCATCTCTCTTACTGCAAGATTTGGCAGCCTCTAAGACCCTGTTTCCAGAAATGGTAATGAACCTCAAGTCACCTTTGTGAGAAATAACATCTTCTGAGAAACTCTTCTGCCTGTTCAGCTTGGTCAATAAGCCACTGAAATCGTCCACACCCGCCTCCAAGTTTTCAAGTTCTTGTTCTGACTGCTGTAGCCAGTGCTGAAACTCGCCATAATCAGCATCAAACTTTTCTAATTCTTCCTGCAGGGAGTGGGTTAACTTCATTTTCTTCTCTGACTCAGACAGTGTGCTTTCATAATATGCTTTCAGCTCCTTCATGTTTTTCTGCAGTTTCTCTTTTTCCTCAGGAGAGAGATAGTGGCCCTGTTTCTCAAGCAATGTTTCTGCAGACTGCGTGGCTATGATGACCGCCTGGTGCTGAGAGATGATCTCTTCATGTTGGGCCTGAGCGTGAAAAAGTAACCACAGCTTTAATACACTCGGGCCTGAGCGTGAAAAAGTAACCACAGCTTTAATACTACCGGGAGTGTCCCACAGGCTCACAGCCTCAGTCTCCCAGGCACAAGTGACCCACAGGGCACCAGCTTGCCTCTCACCCGCTTCTCAAACTAAACAATACCACCTTCTCTGGTGGACTTCAGAACAACAAAAGATGCATTTTGGGCTCTCTGATTTTAAGAAAATTTCCAATCTTCTCTTATTAGTATTTGGATAATCACACAAATTTATATTCCAATACTAAAATAAGAGCCTATAATCTCATTTTGCTCACTGCTTCCTCACAACGACAAAAAGGGGACTGTTAGCATCTCTTCCTAATTAATGAGCAAATAACTACATTATTTTTATTAGAAAGTGATCATGAAATAAACAGAAAAAAGAACATGTAATATTAAAATTAAAAAAACACTCCAACAATTAAATGTCCAGAAAAGCCTAATGCAAATTAAGGGAACAGATACTATAGGAAAGAATACTGGAGTTGCTACTCAGCACCACTGGACCTATCTCCTACTTGTCCATAAAGATAACAGCCCCTACAGAAGAGTTTGTGCTATGAGGAGCACATGAGGTCACATGCAAAGAACACTCCCTGCAAAGCCTGACACACACCCAGGACTCAAGGTCCCTCTGGAGGCTGCAAACAGGTTCAGGTGTGCAGAGCTACTGATCACTGCCTAAATTTAGGTGCAGCAAATGAGCCTCAGGTGGTTGGCATCCCTTTCCCTCTAGCTGTTAAGTATCCTTTCTTTCCCATGTGCCACACAAATATGGCAAAAAGGATTATTAATCCTTTTGAGAAATTTTCTTCATTTATTTTTAAATTGCTGCCATGCATGTTTGCAGTACATAATGATGACATTCACTGTGGGGTGTTGGTACACATGCACAACACATCTTAATTCTTTTTTATACTCTTCCCTTTCCTTTTCCTCCCTCTCTGCTTTCTCCATCTCTTGGTCCTTCTGAAGTTCTGACAGAATCTCTACATTTCTTAAACAGGCTTTCTTGGAGCCACACATTCAGATTTCTGTACCTGAGGGCTATTTTTACTCCTCTACACCAACTGGAGAGACACTCACAGGACCTTTTTCTCCTATTCTCTTCGTCTATTGACAACTCTGTGATCAGATATCTACCTGGCTAAGCCCCTACCTCCTCTAAATCTTTGCACAAATCTCATCTTCTCAATGAGGCCGATCTCGACTACCCTACATGCCATAAATGGGTTTCCCAACCCACACTTAACTACCACTAATAAGGCCTGAACTTCTCCCCGTCAGCACTAAAGACCTTCTAATGTAACATTCAACGTAGCTTTTGTCTATGTCATTCTCACCACCGCCCGTTCCCCACTCCCCACCCCACCCCCTGTACATAAGCACTGGGACAGGGAATTAATTCTGCTCACTGGGAAATGCCAAGTGTCTATACAGTGCTATCCCAAAGAGTGGAGCAAAAACAACCTGTCTGCCGTGAAGGTCAAAGGGAATCAGAAGCAATGCTAGAAGATGACCTCATTTCTAAGTCTGATCCCAATTAGTCCACTGAGAGCAGACTCCTAACATTTGTATCCTCACTATCTGGAACAATGGCAACCACATGATAAATAACTCTTGCCTTTCAGACTGCATCTTTGATATCTGAATTATATTCATATGCTACTCTCCATAAGGGCTTTGCACATAAATAGATTTAGAAAATAATAAACTATCTGATCAGTCTTCTTCCTTCAATAAATAGCTGGAAAAGGGCTGGGCCTGGGCCATGTCACAAATACAGAAGGCTGGAGATCCCTGGTGCAGGCCATTTGCCAATGCTCTACTGAACCAGCAGATGAGGACTCCTCCATACTGACAGATTCTCATATTCTTAGAGGTCCAAAGATCAGAGGAAAATGTCATACTGTAGACTGAAACAAGAGCTGTTCTATGTGACATCTCTGTTTGGTCCACTTACTGATATTTTTGTCAGATTTATTAACTTTTCTTGATGTTTCTATAAATGACTCATAAACTTCCTTTAGGAATTTATCAGATTTTTCCATTTAAGAGACAATTCTAATAAGGTCCTATGACAGTTTCTTTAAACCATGATACTCCTGGCTCTTCTCCTGGCTTAATTTATATTTTCTATAAAAACCTCACAGAGCACACCCTATCCCAAAGATTTACAGAGGAAGAGTTGGAGGAAATAGATGCAAAATTTCCTAAAAGTCCAGTCATTCAAAGGGAAACCCTGAGGTAAAAATCATTAATTATATGACACTTTAAAAATGTTTCCTCAAAAACTGCCTTTGCTAAAATACTAACATTAATAATAGTTTTAATTCCCACCATGCAGAGTTTTCTGAAGGGCTTTTCTATCTCTTCTCACCGAGAGACTGCACTGTCTAGAGGAACTGAGCTCAGAAACGGTTTGAGCCCAGGGCAGTGTAGCAAGCCACTCGGTGAACAAAAATGAGATGCAGCAGAGCAACCATGCATCCAAACTCATCCCTCCAGGTATAACTGGAGCAAGATACTCTAGTTCTGTAAGCTACAGTTTTCCTGAAAAATGAAAATAAAAACCTCAAGATATAATTAGCAGAGATAAATTAGATCAGACAGAAAGATCTAAGAGTGCCCAGCCCACTGTCACTGCTATATAAATGTTAACTATGACTATTACTTTATATTAATTTCTTATAATATGGCTTCAGTTACACACAGAACCATAAGCCAGCGTTTCATTTTCTTTTTTTTTTTTACTTGCTTGGAACTCTCGTGATACATTACATATGACATAATGACAACCTTGGAAAAACGGAATATATTCTCTGTGGTCACTGTGACCTGGGATGAAGTATGTCGTCTCTGTCTTCTGCTGACCTGGATATGGAATTGGACCATATCAACATGTCTGAACCACACACCTTAATCTTCTGATACTGCTGGTTCAGATTCTCCTCAGGGGTCCTCAGGCGCGCACCAACAGCAGCTGCCAGCAGGTTACCGTTAACTTCATCCTCTTCTCCAATCACTGCCTTGCCATCACCTTCATCAAAATGGGTCCCATTCTGTTCAACAACCTGTTTGTTTATCCCTGCCCTTTCTGAGATTTCGTCCATGTTCGACAACCAGTCCAAAAGGTTTTCAATTTTGGTTTTGCTCTCTTCCAGCTGCTTCACAGCTGCAACCTGAGCAGGAATATTTATACCAGGCTTTATGAATGCAGGATGAGGTATAAATATACTCTAAAAGTAAAATCTGAGTATCTTTAAACTGTAAAAATTGACATGCACTGAAATTATAACACAGAAAAAGTAAACCTTGCTGCAAGTTACTCTGACATATTCACTGCTTTTAAAAATCGTGTACACTCCAAAGTTGTAAATGCAACTGATGAGTTACCATGTATTTCATAAACCTATCTCAACTTTAAGAAAAAGTTAAGAAAGACAGTTCATCAAGCCTTTTGTAGTATTTGGCCAATGACACACCTAGAATCTAAGAAGTCTAGTTTGGGGGCTAATTATCACTCATTACCACCTGGTACACTTAAAAAAAAATCAACCAACTATTAATAATTTCTGACAAAGCAATAATACACCACATATTTGAATAATACCTTTTCCGCTTCTTCCTTGATTGCTGTCTTCACAACTTTATCCAGATCCTTCTTCGACTGTTCTGCCTTCAAATTAAGCTGCTCATACTTTATCTTTGCTTCACTAAGTTTTTGTTCCATCAAAGCCTTATCTTCTTGTGATAGCTTTTCATCATTCTCTTTTAGGAAGTTCTCTGTATTTTTTACTATTTCTGTCAATGCTTGTGCATTTCTTTGCATATCTCTCTGGAATTCCTTATGACACAAAAGGAAAAATACTGTTAAATTATTATCTACATAGCTCTCATAGAGTTGTAATTCTAAAAGAGGGAATAAGCAGAGTACAACCCATGCAGCTTAAAAAGCATATTGAATATGCTATTCTGATTTGGTTTATTGAAGTTGTATTTAATATTATTTGAAGAAAAGCTGAAGATTTTCATGCTTAAGAATATAGTTTTCAAATCAATAGGCTTCTTGTACACAAATAACAGACTCACTGAGAGAGAAATTAGTGAAATAATTCCCTTCACAATAGCATCCAAAAAAAGAAGTATCTAGGAATCAATCTAATGAAAGAAGCAAAAGACCTCTACACTGAAAACTACAGCACTCTGAAAAAAAGAGATCAAAGAGGTTATTAGAAAATGGAAAGATATTTATTCCCTGCTCCTGGGTAGGAAAAATCAACATAGTGAAAATGGCCATATTAGCAAAACTGCTATACATATTCAGTGCAATACCGATTGAAATTCCAACACTATATTTCACAGAACTAGAAAAAATAATCCAAAAATTCATTTGGAACAAGAAGAGACCTAGAATAGCAAAAGCAATCCTAGGCAAAAAGAGACATGGCAGTGGGAATAACAATTTGAAACTATACTACAAAGCCACTGTGATAAAAACAGCATGGTACTGGCAAAGAAACAGACTGGAGGATCAGTGGAATAGATTGGAAGACACAAAAACAACTCCAGATATACTCAACTACCTCATCTTTGACAAAGGAGCCAACCACTCTCATTGGAGGCAAGATAGCCTCTTTAATAAATGGTGCTGGAAAAACTGGATTTCAACCTGCCAAAGATTAAAACTAGACCCTTATCTTTCACCATGCACTAAACTAAAATCCAAGTGGATTAGAGATCTAAATATTAAAAAAGAGTCACTAAATTTTCTGGAAAATAAGTTAGGCAGAACTCTTGAAGACATTGGCATAGGAAAAGACTTTATGAACAAATCCTCAGTAGCATGGGAACTAGCAGAAAGAATCAATAACTGGAATCTCATCTTATTAAAAAGCTTCTGCACTGCAAAAGAAACCATCAACAACATCGCTTCTCGGCCTTTTGGCTAAGATCAAGAAACCATCAACAGAACTAAAAGACAACCTACAAGGTGGGAAAAAATTTTACCAGCTGCTCCTCAGACAAAGGACTATTATCTAAAATATATAAAGAACTAAAAAAAACAGCCTCCCCAAATATAAAGACCCGATTCATAAATGGGCATCTGAAATGAACAGACATTTCTCAGACAAAGAAGTAAAAGCAGCAAGTAAATATATGAAAAAAATGTTCCGCATCACTGTTCATTCGAGAGATGCAGATGAAAATAACACTGAGATTCCACCTCACCCCACAAAGAATGGCTGCTATCAAGAAATCAACAAATAACAAATGCTGGCGCAGTTGCAGGGAGAAAGGAACCCTTCTCCATTGTTGGCGGGAGTGCAGACTGGTGCAACCACTATGGAAATCAATATGGAGATTCCTCAAAGAGCTGGGATTACAGGTTCCATTCGACCCCGCCATTCCTCTGCTAGATATCTTTCCAAAAGAATTAAAAGAATCATATCACAGTGATATATGCACACCTACGTTTATAGCAGCACAGTTTATAATAGTTAAAACTTGGAAACAGCCCATTTGCACATGAGTTGGAGACTGGATAAAGAAGATGTGGTTTTTCTATAAAATGGAATACTACTCCTATTCATTCATAGGAAAATAGATACATACTGAGGATATACTCCTAAGTGAAATAAATAAGTCACACATGTATAAATACTGAATGGTTTCTCTGGTGTGAAAAACTGTAATGGTACTAAGATCCTAATGAGATAAGTGACAATGTGAAATAAGAAGAAAAGGGCAAAGGTGTACGGAAAGTGGGAAGGGTAGGATAAAGGTAATAAGGGAAAAGAAAAAAAATGAAAAAATGGAAATAAAGTATTTGTAAATAGGGAAGGGAGGAGGGGGTGAAGGGAAGGCAGGGATAAGGGGAAAAAATGAGAACCAAGACCTGTCATGTAAGGTACAAGATCCCAATGATGACTGTAACTGTACTGTACACCTAAAATGTACCAATAACCTCAATGAGAAAAAAAAATATATATATAGTTTTCAGAATGTATTTTGTGAAACACTGATAACAAAAATGTCTTTGGTATATAATACATGCAAATACAATACATGTACATTTACAAAAACTTGTAAATACACAGTATGATTTGTTGTTTTTAAACATGTATTTTTAATATATATTTACTGCTCAGGATAAAAAAAGTTCCCGTGGTGAATGCAGACACTTTCTTTTTCTACCAGACTCAATAATAATATGTAATGCTTGCTTCTTTGCTTTGACTACTAGGAAGTTCAATATTAAGATCCCTTCTCTATACGTATACTTTTCCTGACTATGGACAGATGAAACTTCAATATGTAATTTTCTCTACTTTCCCTTTTTTTATTATGCATTTTCATTCTCTATACTGTACTGTGTTGGAGTTTTAAAATTTTTCTTTATGTGTTAAGCCTTATCAAATTTTTCTAAGTACTTGAAACAGATTCTACTTACTGAGCCATTACTATGCGGCATTAACTGTGCTAGTGACTGAATTCACAATATTTACTTAACTTTTTTTTTTTGGGTACTGGAGATCGAACTTGGGCCCCTGTGCTTGAGAGGCAAGTGACGGAACCACTGAAATTTGGAACCATCAAATCCCAGGCCCTACTTAAGTTTTACAATAATGGTAGCAATGAAAGCACAACAATGAGGAAACTGAGGCTCAGAAAGATTAAGTTATAAAACTAACCATACATAAAGTCTAGAATTTGAACCAAAAGCTATTACAGTGATGGCTATTTGCTGTGATTTGCAAGTAGGTAGGTTGGCCTTAAATGGGTTCCAGCTTTAATTCATAGAAATCTCCATTGTATCTTCTCCATCCAATAACCCACCCTAAGAAAAACAGGGAAATTACCTGGTGTGCTTCAAAGCAGAAACCTAACCTTTAGTGTAAAGTTTACAGCTCTGGACTCCTAGGTACGCCTTGCTTCTTAAACATCTAGAATTATTGGCATTAGTCGGTAGTCCTAATGGCCCTCCAAACAACAGTAATCAAACCTAGCAGGAACACAGAGCTGCTCATACAAAGCCCAGGTCTACCTCTTGCTCAGACTTGTACTTCTTTAACTCAACTGTGCCATCTCCAATCACAAAGGCTTCCTGGTGACCGATGAGGCGGTTTTCAGTTTGAGTGAGATGATCACATATCCCTTGGAGCTTCTCTCTGTACTCCTGCTGACGCTCTGCCATGGTCTAAGGCGGAAAAAAAACCCCGACACCATCAGGTGTGGTCATAAAATCAATCCCTGACAGCTCCACTTCATGAGCACACATTATTCCAAAGTTCCTCTACTAAGCTTTTATTTAAGTATGCTGTAAACATAATAGCAGTGGGGTACAAACTGAGCAAGGAGAGACAGAAAGTGTGAGCATGTCCCCAAAACAAGGAAAGAGATCACTGGGATACAGTTACTCAGCAGAATACTGGCCATGCATATGTGTAAGAGATGGAACTTCTGACCGACAGGAAGAAACATCCCATTTTCTTAAGCTCTTGAAACTTGCAAAACACACAATTAATTCTGCAAAAGGACACCAAAAGAGAAGTTAGTTGTGATGTGCCTGTTAAAGTAACTGATATGTATATATAGGTTATCATGCTAGAGACAATGCCTGGTGCTTCAAGAAATAAAAGATGGGCTGAGGATTTAGCTCAGTGGTTCCTCCTCCTGCCTTGAAATCGCAAGATCCCAAGTTTGATCCACAGAACCAAAACAAAACAAACAAAAGAAGTAATAAAAGAACATTGCATGCAGTAATGTTTACCTAATCACTGTATCTAACTGCATGCCCATTTCTTTGCTCATTCTTGATTAGATACAGAACTATAACACAATTTACTACATCTTCTAAAAGACTGAGTCAAAATCACTTTGCATGCATTTTTCATTTTTCATTTTAATACATATACTGACCATCAATCTTGTAGACATAGTAAACATAGCTCATATTTCCTAAAAGCCTAGCACATGCTAGGCAAGGTGCTAAGTATTTATAACTTCTTTATCAGTACTCACAATACTACCAGATAAATACTGCTATTACTTCCACTTTACCAGTAAGAAAAAGGAGGTTAATTGCCTTGCCCCAGGTCTTACGGACAATGAGGAAGGTAGTTGTGATAAAACACAAGCAATGTGGTTCCAGAACCCATGCTCTCAATTGCTGAGCCAAACAACTTCCTTGAGAAAAAAGATACCATTCTTAACCTTCTTTAGACATGTACCCTTAATTTATTCCTGGAAATTTCTGAGTATATGCATCTCTCATATTTGTTGGGTTAAAAAAAAATGTAAGCGTCCCACTTAAAATAAGTAGTTAGGGAGTCATGAAAGTTAAAATCATCTGAACTACATCATCATTATAAAAATGGCATTGCTATAGACTGCCGAAACACTGTACTATGCCCTATTTACTAATGTCTGTCCAGATAATTGCTCCTAATTTGCTAATCCCGGACAGCTACACGAAGGCTTCACATTGAAGAAGTGAAAACAAAGAATTCCCATTCCACAAAGAAAGGCAAACCTTCTGATCATCAAGATCTTGTTCTAGCTGTAACTGCATCTCTAAATGTTCCACCAGCACAGTTACTGATGCCTGCACATCAAGAAAACACTTCTGAGTTGCATTTAAGAGCCTCAGCAGTTGTCTGCTTTGGTTGGGAGACAGATCTTGAGCATATTCAGAAATGAAGAACTGCACTTCAAAGGCAGTAGTCTCCAGCTGCATTTTGGTATGCCCAAGGTCTCTTAACATAGTCTGTGAACAAAGTGGTACAAGTTACCAATGAGAGTAAGGCTACAGATAAGGGTTATATTAACAAGAGTATTCATTTTTAAAAATACGGTTTGCAGGGGTTTGGAAGTTTAAAGACTTTTATTCATTAGTCATGAAAATCCATCATCTAGAAACAAATGATAATAAGTTTAAAAAAATACAATGGTAGTTAATATTATACACAAAAGGTAACTCATCCAAGGATATTTTATCTTTGCTTGCTATATCATATTTAAAATGGAACTGAAAAAGGCAGATTCAACATAAGTACATTTTACCACACATTAAAATATTCCTCGCTAGCACAATATCCATTAAAATGAGGTAATAAATAACAAGATCATAAAGAATTTGAAATGTGAATTAAGTGAGCCAGGATTTCAGTTTTCTGACTCTGAGACAAGGAGCTTCATCATGTTTGTGGGAAACGTGTTCAAATTAAGAGCTTGCAAAAATATCACGGCAAAACTGACTATTTTAGATACTGCTTATACTGTCATGTATTTATGTGACTAAATGTATATGACTCATTTGTAATTCATGCATTTTATGTGACTACTACATAAATACACAGATCTAAATCTAAACACATCAGTGATAAGAGTTTGATGAGGCATTTGGGATAACTTCACAATACATCCATAAGGCTGAGATTATTTGATAGTAGTATCAACTATCAACAAACATCACAAAGGAAATAAATTCTTTGTAGTCTTAAGAAAGTTATATTTTTCCTAAACACTTAAATTAAATCCATAGGTTTTGCAATGTACTTTGCTGTATTTACTGTTACAATTACCTTAAGAAACTCCAAAGTTTTCTTTACACGTTTAGTATCTTCAATCTTCACAGTCTCAATATATGTCACAGATCTGCTCCTCTCTGATATCCATTCTGAAAATGACTTAATTTTATGCAGAAATTCTTCATAGGAAACTTCTAGCTTGGACTAGAAAATAAAAGTGTGCATTCATTTCTTTGGGTCATACAAATAGTGATTCTGTTTTAGGAGCCTAACATTCCAAAAATAAAATATCTTATGCCTAAATTTTCAGAGAGTCAAGGTTTACTGAAACTTTGGCATTTCTGTGCCTACCATTTCAGAGTCAATTGCAAGTATGATCTGTTTTATTCTTTCTGAAGACACATTGCTCAGGGATGAAAAGGCAGTCTGCAAACTTTGATGGCTTAGACTCAATTCCTCGAGATATTTTCTGGGAAAGTCACTAGGAAGAGACTTTAAGAAGTCTTCTGCCGATTTCATACTCTTTCTTAAAATCACAGCAACTGGAGATAGTCTCAACTGAAACATCTGTAAGGAAATATGTCCCAGATATATTTACCACTTAAAGAAAAATATAAACATGAAACATAAGAAGCACTCCACTTTTTCAAGCCTTGTATTAACTGACATCATCCTTAAACAGGCAGCTACCACAGTTTAGAGTGGGAATACCCCCAAGGACCCCAGCTTTGTCCCCAGCATGATGCTATGGGGAAGCAGGAGAAATTTTAAGAGACAGGACCTTAGCCGGAGGTGCTGGGTCACCAGGAACATCACTCAAAGTTGACGGTGCAAGCCCAGTCTCTCTTGCGGGACCCCCACCATGAGGTAAGTGGTTTTGATCTGCCACACTCTTATCACTGTGATACGCTGCCTCACCACAAGCCTAAGGCACCAGGGCCAATGGTCAGGAAATGAAACTTCTAAAAACTGTGAGCTCTAGTAAGGCTCTGATTATCTCAGGTGTCTGTCAGTGTCGTGGAAAGCTGACTAACACAGCAGCAGACAATTCTTACCTCTAACTGTTTAAGTTGATTCTTCAAAGCTTCTAGATTGTTATCCACAGACTCTTGGTTGTCTAAAGGAGGCTTCATATCTTGAAGCAAAGCTAAATACTCATGCATTTTTTCAGTGTGCTGTAAACATTGCTGCAATTCATTGGAAAACTAAAAACAAATTTGAACATTTTTAACTTAAAAGCCTTTTTTAAGCTTTAAAATCCTAAGATTTTAAAGACAAATACAATGTAAGGGATTATTCCCAAATGTTTCACGCAGGTATGTCACTGTCTATCCTGATAGACCTTCACTGGATTGACAAATTCTTCGGTTTAGTAAAACATGCTCCTGGGTATGTCACGGAGGTGTGGGCATGGTACTATAGGACCCCTCCCCTCTGTGGCACTGTTACCTACTCTACTCTTTGGCTGACATGAACTGAGCAGCTCTGTTATACCGCATCCTTCTGCTGTGAGGTTTCTACCTTGGAGCCTCTTAACCACACACTGAATTTCCTGAAACTATGAGCTAAAACTTTTTCCCTTTACGTTGTGGGTGCCAGTTATTGTGTCTCAGTGATGGGAAAGTTAAATAATATAAAATACTTCCATATAAAATATAAGAATTGACTTACTTTTTCCATTGAGCTATCTCCAGAAGTAATTTCTTTTAATTCAGCAGTACAACCCAAATGGTTTGGGAAATCACTGCATAGGTCTTCAAGCCTCTCATTTCTTGGTAATGATGCTGCATACACAACAGACCTTTCTAGTCGCATTTCCTTTATAGTTTGTGAATTAGGGGAACAGTGGTTTTCTTCCTTGCTTTTAAGATCACCAAAAAAGCGTGGCTTTTCTTCCTCTATCTCAGAAGGGGTACATGCTTTTTGACTCAAGTTTGTTCTCATTTGTTCTCCTTTTTCTGAATATCCATCAGCAAGCAGCTTATCAAAAGCATTTTCAAGTTGTACATTAGATGAAATATCACTTTGCTCCGGATCATACTCCATCTGAGTTAACTCTCTCAATAACTCAAACACGCCTGTAATTTTCGGGCTATATTGATTTTGCTTCAGTATATCAAGAAGTTCAGAATTAACATTTGCAATATAGAAAGGATCGTCTCTACTCTCTGCCTTTAGTTCTGATGAATTATTTATGGGGGAGACTCCAGGGTAGTCACTGATTTTAGAGTTGCTGGGCACACGAGATATTTCATTTACCAACTGTAATGAGCTAATCTTTTTAATTAAGATTTGAATTAAAGCTTCAGGGTCTGCACAAGTTGAAGCGTCATCCACCTCTTGAAGATTCATTGTACTTTTCAACTGGCTTTTTAAGACATCCTTTACATTTTCCACAAATACTTGAGATAATCCAGTAATCTGTCTCACCTTTTCGTGGTATTCTAGAGACAAAGTTTGTTCTCTTGGTGGCTGTTTCTCAATTCCATCGTTCTTATTGTTAATTTTTAAGAATAAGTAGTCAGTATCTAAAGTATTACTGGAGTTATCATTCCTTATTTCATTTATACAGATCTCGGACTGACTACAATCAGTATTTTCCTCAAGGTCTTCCACATTTTTAAGGGTCAAGACTGGAAGTATGACTTCACTGTTTTCTGATGTAAAGTGAGGAATTTCTCTTCCTCCTTCTGAGACATTTTCTTTAGTAATAAGATCAGTGTGGTGGAGCTTTTTATTTAGAGGCCAGTCTTCTTGAGTAGGAGTCAAATTCTCTTTTGTATTGTTAACTCCTAATTGTAAATCTCTCCTGGGCGAGTCAGCTATTAAAACATGGCTACAGGTGTCTTCACTTGGTTTCAGCACATCTTTTACTTTTGTATTTTTAGCACCATGTTTTAGGAAAGTAAGCAGATCAAGCTCGTTCTCAGGCCCATCAGTGAATGAATCTTTCTCAACAATGGTACTCCCTTCAGACAATACAACACCTGAAGGAGTGTCATAACTGATCACCTTGGGAACTGGTGTGTCAAATATTTCTCCAAGATCTTCAAATTGAACAGGGCTTTTACTAACCACTGTTTGTACATTTTTTGTTTCCTCTTTAAGAGTTCCAGTTACCCTCTGAAGGCTTCCTTTCTGACCAAGGTCTTCACTGTTCGTGATTTGTGGAAATGGATACTGACTTTTAACTAAATTGAGGCTCCCTCCTACACTTTTATTAAGTGAAAGTTTGAGATACTCATTTTCCTCTTCTTCTGGCCCTTCTGTAAATACTTCTTTACCTAAGTGTGTTTTCTGCGCTGACACAGCACCTTCCATTGGTATATTTATTTTGTCATCTTTCCCTTTACCTAGATCTCTCCCATTTCCTTGGTGATCTCTGCCAGTTACAAAAGTTGTGAATGACAACTTGCTTTCCTTAGGTTTCCCAATTAACTCAGGCTGAGAACAAATTATTTTATCAAAAGATGGGTTAATTCTGGCAGTCACATTCTCGAGAAAGACAGATTCTGGCACTTTAGTCACCTTGATATTTGTGTTCATTAAAACACTCTCTAACTCAGAAGGTGAACTGATACTGTTATGTAAAATACCTTCAGGACCAAAGATTTTTCCCGATTCAGTGTCTTTAGTGATGGGCAGCAATGTATCTGTAAGTACTACCTCATGACTCAGCAGATTTTCTTTCCTTTTTCCAACAACCCCAGTTGTGTGTTCCTGAAGGTTTCCTTCGGTAACTAAACTGCTCTCACTAGTTGATTCCAATTGCAAAATGCTTACACTTTGCTGTGTTTCTAAAGAACTGCACATTTTATCCAGGAGACGCATTTTAATACTTAGATTTTCATCACTATTTTGCTTTACGGCCATGGGACATAACTGGTTGCTTTCAGCTTTCTCTTGGCACATGGATTTTCCATTCTCATCTCCCACTCCTCCTTCTTCATCATCACCATCAACATCATAGTCATCATCATCATCTTGATCATTACTGTCATATGTATAATCCCCATAACTTTGTTCACTTTGCACAGAATCAAAATGGTCAGTATCAGATTGGCCAATTACATACTCTTTTCTTCTCCAACTGCCAGTGTCATCAAATTCTAATGAGTCACCATAGCTCCCTTTACTTCCTACAACTTCACAATCAGTCAATGAGTCAGACTCACCACCTTCAAGGTAATCTGTGTGTTCCCTTTCTGATAACATTTCCACTGACCATTCATTCACGTTGTCTGAGACAAACGAACTTAAATGTTTTCTGTCACCAGAATCTAATTCAACTTTCCCAATACCTTTGAGAAAATCTTGAAGATACTGTGCTCTGTCCCTTATATTTACACTGCCAGCTGGTTCTCCCTGGGGAACCAGAGAGCTTTCATTCTCCTTTGAAATATCATAAAAAACATCAATAGGAAGAACCATCCCATCATTTTCCTCTTGCAGTGTGTCACAGTCCTCAGGCTGAAGACAATCTCGGTTATCACCGTCGAGAAGAAGAGAATCATGGTCGTCATCTTCAAACCAGGGGCTATCATAAAAATCGTCATCACTATCGGTGTCTGCTCCTGCATCACTCTGCTGACCATCCAGCAGTGACGTTTCATAGTCACCAGCACTGATGGTTTCTTCACGCACAGGTGTACCACAGATATGAGATGCACTGGCATCGTCGGTACTGCACCCTAGGTTCATCACATGGAGTAACTCTTCCATTTCAGATTCCTTTTTCTTGCCGGTAGGTTTCTGCTGAGAAGCAGTATGCATGTGTTCATTCTCATCAACAGTATCGGACACGTATTTATCACTGGGATATTGTACTTGAGGATTACGACAAGCAATATTTAAAGATTTCTGTTCACCTTGTTCTCCTTGTAAAGTGATGTTAATAGCTGCAATTCCAAGAAACTGGTCTTGAAAACTTTCTCCCATTCTTTGATCTGATAACATGCTTTGGTCGCTGAATGATAAGGAGGCTTCACACTGATTTCCACTGCTCTCTGTGGTGTGCACATCATTAAAACTTTTTTGATTATGCCTCAATTTATCATGACTTAATAAGGTACTTAGCCTGGGGGAATAGTCAAAGAAGGATGAATCCTGGTTTAAGTTATCCTCATTCCTGGTTTCACTCACATCACAGAGTTTACCGGTTTTTGATTTCATAACAGGACTTGTTATCAAATCATTTGCAAAATTTTGACTTTGATTTTCACAATTTTTAAACATATTTTCAGAATCATGTCTAAGCATGCTACATTCTGTAGGTTCAGTCTGTTTTACAAATGACACAGGGTTGGGAATGCACATGCTAAGTGAAGTGTTAACTTCCTGATCAGTTGCTATATTTGCCATGTTTTCTGACTGACAAAATTTGCTACTGATAGCATTCCTTCCTACTTCATCAAACTTTTCATCTATGGCACCCTTTTGATTTTTAGGAGTCTCTCTATGTCCAGGTTCTCTGGAATGACATTTACCTGACCCTGTCGGTGAAGCTGTACATTCATTCTTTTCTTTACCCAAAGCAAGATTAAGATATAGACCAGGGAAACCTAAGACATCAAGGCTGTCTTTCATGGGTGTGTCTTCACCAAATTCAGCACCGCAGCCTTCTAGGAGCATACCAACAGCCTCCTCCAAGTCTCCATCGTATAGCAAAAGCCTCTGTCCTGTGTTTGCATCCATATAGCTATTAACCATCAAATAAGATAGAAATAATTTCTTAGTCTGTTCTGAGTTCCGAGTTGCCACTGGCTCTTCTCCATCAAAAACATTGTCTTCTTCCCTGTAATCATGAACTGTAGATGGTTGAAATTTACAAAAAGAGAGCCATCTTCTGGCATTTTTACAAGTTTCTAAATCTCCTATATCTGGCATTTTATCTGGCAGTACTATATTTTTTAAAATCGATGCTGTATTGTTATCTATAACTCCCAGCTGCTCAGCAACATCCAAACCAATGACTTTAGAACTTTCTGGAATATAGAGAGCTGCTATTTTCTGCCTGCCATTCAGAATTTTGTAAGCCAATTCATTTGTAATTAACTCTTGCTGCAAGGAAGAAGATGTGGGGAATATTTCACCAGAGTGGGGCCAAATAAGGCCAACATAGCCTCGCTGAGCCTCCAGGACCAAGAGAGCACTGCTGGAAGTGATTAAGTCACACTGCACTGCTTCATCCACAGTCAAGCGCTTAGCTGGGTTGGAGCAGATGATGCCACCCGTCTGAACCTGGTAGGTGAGAATACTGTGAGCAGTATTTCCATCAATCACGCCCTCTGCCAACGCTTCTTCAACAGTCAACTTCTGGCCAGAGGCACACTCGATCAGACCGCCAGACAGAAGCTGAGCACCTAATAACCGAAACATGGTCTCACGGTCTATCAGACCCTCGTGAGCTGCTCTTAGAATGCTTATGCTTCTTCCACATTTTAATGTTATTCTACCCCCTTCTTGCGGTCTCACAGGGAGAAGCCACATTCCAGTATTTTCTTGAAAAATACTTCTTTGTACCATATCTATTAAAGACACCTTCTCAGAGGTGCAGGGATCAATAAGATCTTTGCACGTATTTTGCCTTTCCAGGACTTTGGAAAATAATGCTGAGGAAACCAAGTTCTGCTGGAAAGCCTTCTGCAGAGTCAAGTGTTCTCCAGTGGATGGGATGACCAGAAATCCAGTGGAAAACAGGATCTCAAGAACTTTAATGGCCATGGACTCTGATATCATGCCTTGAGCCAAAGCATCTAGTACAGGAATTTTGCTAGATGATGAAGCAGAAATAATCTCCTTAGCGTTATTTAGTTCTTTGAGTTGGCACAGAATTTGTTCATCAATAAGGCCATGAATTTTGGCACCTTTGAGGTCAAAACATTTTCTTAATTCTGGTGAAATTAGACCAGAAATCAGCAACTGTGTCTCAAGCAACCTGATTCCTGTGTCATAGTCAATGAGGCCTCTTAAAACTGCCTGAAAGACTGAAAGGACTTCTCCAGTTGCCTGATCAATGGTGCCTGCAATCACTTTATCCAGCTGAAAGGAAAACACAAAAATCTAAGGTCAGTCTGTCACACAATGGTAGGCATAATTCCATGCAGCTTAGTTTTTGTTTCTTACTTTTTAAGAATACATTTGATCATAAAAATCCTCTACTTACCAAGGTGCAGCAATGCTGTGAATGTTAGGCAGCTCAAATGTGCAAGTGATCTATGTCAGTGATCTATTCAACAGCACAGGATGTGATAAAAGCTTTGAAAACAACATGCATCTGTGAACTGAAAACTTAATATTGTGTATATTATCAAGGTTAGTGAGGACACAGCAGAGTAGATGAAGACAGTGAGAGAACAGAACACACACCTAGAAGGCAAATCATGCTTTCTGTATTTGGGTGAGATTAAGGTCTAGTGATATGAACAGTAACAAACCCCATGCTACTGATGTTTACAGCATACTGACTCTTTCAAAGATGCTTAAAAATTAAGAAACCAGAAAAATTGTTACATAACCCCAAATGTGACAATTATATAGAAAATATTATCAGGGAAGATGGAATTACACCTAAGGTGAACTTTTAAAATATTGAATATTATGTCTGGCATCTGGATATACGCTGCCAAGGTAAAAGGAACTTTAAGAGATGTCTATTTTAAGAAGACACTAGAGCACCCTCACTGTAATATATGGACTCCTATTACCTGAATAATTCTCACGGGTACCTCTGAAAACCAAACTCCATGGCACATCAATGCCACAACTAGAGATCACCCAAAGTCTCTTTTATAACATATTTTATAATAGAAAACCTACTGTAGCAGAAAATGACTTTTAAACAGGAGAGTTAGAAAAATGAATGATTCTTTTTTTACCATGCAAGGCAGAGATTAAGATGTCATAGAAACTAGTGATCAGCAAGTGTAAGATTGCATTTAATAAATGACACTGAACTCTCCAAACATGTAAATAAACTTCATCCATATTTTATCTAGGTAAGAAAATCCAAAGTAATATGTTATTAACATATATCTCCAGTCATGCAATAAAAACTGTTTCCTGAAACAGCCTCACATTTAATAAATATTACCTTCTCCTCTGCATTTAAATCTCCTGAGGTTTGTGATTGTTCCAGTTGTTTCAGAGATTCACTAAATAATAAATTATACCCTTCTTGAAGAGTTTTCCCTTGTTCTTCCAATTCCCTTCTTTCTTCTCCTGTCATTCTAAAGTAACCATAAAGTATGAAAAGTAAACGGTAGTCTTCAAGTATAAAAACAATAGATTAGCTTCAATGACATCCTGATATGATCGTAACATTAAAATACAGCCTTAGGTATCGTACGTATTGCTCAGGTCTTGGAACGACTGTATAGTAAAACTTAGGATTGCCCTAGAAAACTCTAGGAGTCGTTTCCTTACCTAAGAAAGAGAATGAAGGAAAGGGTATGAAGATGTATCTATCTCTCTCCAACATACAAATTTCCAGAATAAAAACTGCTGCTATCTGATAAGGGAAAGATCCCATGCTTAGTTCCATCATAGAAAAATGACAGTAAGGTAGCAATTTCTCAAGCCAACACTCACTTAAAAGGAAAGATAAATGAGGAGAAATTTACACAGAAATTAACTAGATTCCCTAAAATATAATACAAACCCATTCTGGAATAATCTCAAAGATCTTCAAAAAGAGTTTAAAATAAGGGTGTTCCTTCTCTGAGACAATGATTAAAATACATGAAGTTTCTTGTTGTGAAGAGCAGGACCAAAATACAGTATGAAAACTATGGCAAAGAAACGAAGCACCTATATTTACACATTTTCCACAAGGCAGTCTCAGAGAGCACTACTTAAAAGTTTGAGACAGGGCTTAGATATTACCTCTGCCACTCACTAGCTACTAATTCGTCACTCCTCTGAGCCTGTTTTCTCATCAGTAATAGATGTGGATAACAAGTACATCTTAGAACTGTGCTAAAAACTACAAGTAATAAAATACTATTTATGTATTTATATTAATTGTAATTGGAGTTCTATTTTAAAAATCTCAATTAAAATGTACCATCTTCTGCTTTGCTGACAGTTTTTAAGAATATGTCCCTAACTCTGTTGAAAGAGCTAAGGAAAAATCAACATACTTGTCTCCATGTTTAGACAGAAAAAGCTGCATAGTTTGAAGTGCTTCAGATAACTGTTCCTTCTTGGATGATAATTCTTCACAGGGAATCTGCAAGAGAAACAAGGCACTTCAATACTCCCTTAAAATGATAATAATAATTCTTTTAAAAATCTAATCATCTACTTGTAGACCTATCAGTAATTGGCAGGCTACTGGCTTGGATAAGAAGAGTGCTTTATTTCTAATGGATTATTAAGAAAGGAGGTTCTATCTTTAATGTCATCATTTTCATGAGCAACTACTAATTGAATGTTATATATGTTCTTGCCTTTGTCCCATCCCAACCATGAATAAATAGGGCCTTAATTCCAAGGGGGCCAGAAGTTCAGCAATGACCCAACATCATCCTTGCATGTGACGTTACTCAAAAAGATCTGGGGAGGGTAGCTCAGTAGTTTCACCACCTGCCTTACAAGCACAAGGTCCCAAATTCGATCCCTAGTATTAAAAAAACAATTCTTTGTGAATGTAGCATATTATCTTCAAAAAACTCTTTATTTCCCCAAGCTCCTAAATACAATTTTCCTTTTAAAAATTTTTGGTGGAAGTATTATTCTACAGTATGCAGATTAAACAAGGCTAAGACCCTGACCTGTAAAAGCCATTTGTGAGTCAGAGAAATAAAACTGATCTGTTCCGGAAAAGAAGGGGCTGTAATAACACTTTCTCCTAATTACTTAGCAAATGATTTCAGAATCCTTATAACAGGAATTACCATTCTTTTAAAAGAGCAGAAATGACAGGAAATAATAGGCCAATAAAAATGTACCCCATGTATACTAGAATAAACTTAAAGTCTAGTTTTAATGGTTACAAGTAATCATGAGGCCATAAGGAATTTTAGGTCTCACACATGTACATGAAATTTACTGACTTTAACAGAAATACCATCAAGGGTTCTTTGGAGTGCTATAATGATGGTCATGATCTGCAATAAAAAGTAACTGTCTACCTTTGTGTGTCTCAAGTCCAAATCTGATTTGCTAACGCTTTGGAGGATTTGAAACTACAGAATGTGAAGCTACCCAGGATCTCGAATCCACATTTCTGAAGACAAACTTACTCTCCCAAGAAATCTCTGCTAAGGATGAGGTGCCTATCTTAGTTGCCATCCTATTTGAGAGAAGATGCTTTAAATTAAATATCTTCATTAAGTCACTTGGAAGGTTTTGAGTTCAAAATACCAGATGTAGATGTTTTCACATTTCTCCTTTCTTCCACGCTACGTGATATTAGCTAACACTGACAATACAGCTTACGCTCAATTAAATAATATTTCAAGTATATAATCACATCTATACTTCTCCAAAAGAGAACTTGAGATGTTACATCACAGACAAAAATCAGACAAGACAGTAATGTCTTCTGTTTAATCATGTAAATAATGTAAGGTTTTGAGGCCCAGCAGAGGAGCTTGCAACCCTCTAGTGGGGCTGCCTCTTCAGCACAGAGCAACAGAGAAGCCAGGAGGCGCGCGACAACCTCCGGTACACCCACGCCTTTGGCCAAGTCCAGCAGAGGAGCCCAGTTGTACAGGCCAACACAGTGGTGTTCCTACACACACCACCACCACCCACGCGAACAAGAGAAAAAGGGCCTCTCCAGGGCTCCTACATGAAAATTGAAGTAAACTGGAAGAGTGAAGGGAACATCTGCAATAAAGGCACACCAGACCACCACAGCTGGCAAGTCGGAGGGACCAGCACGTCACATCAGAACCAGGGGTAACCTCAGGGGAAAGACAGATGGAACCTGCAGCAGAACCTGGCAGAGTTCAACCCAGCAGGAGCAGGAGGTCAGAGATCTCAACTTGGGCCTTGCAGCCAGAAACCAGCTTGAAACTCAGGGGACAGCTGCTGGCTTGCTGAGACTAATTAACTCAGATCTGCACACGTCTGCCCACTCTGCCTACTGTGTCAGCAGAGGCATACCCTGAGGGAGGCCCTCTGTTTATATTTTTTATTTTAAAGTAATATTTTTCTCTTATCTTTTATCATTTAAAAATTTATCTTTCTCTTTTCTCAAATGTTTTCCTTTACCTTTTCTCCCTCTCACACTTTACCATTTCTCTCCCATTTTGTTCCTGTCCCTGTCCTAATTCAAATTTCTTATTTTCTTTGAACAAATGGACTCAGTGGATGTCTACAGCGTGTTCCACCCCACAAAATCAGAATATACATTCTTTTTGGCTGCAGATGGGTCATTCTCCAAAACAGACCTCATGCTAGCTCATAGAACATGTTTAAGTAAATGCAAAGGAATTAAAAGTTATCCCCTGTATATTATCAGGCCATAGTGCAATTAAACTGTAGATCAATAGCGTAAGAAACCACAGGAACTTCACAAACATATGTAAATTGAATAACACACTTCTGAAGAAACACTGGGTCACAGAGGAAATTAAAGAAGAAATCAGACAGTTTCTACAATTAAATGATAATGCCAATACAACATACAGGAATCTATGGGACACATTCAAAGTAGTTCTACCAGGGAAATTCATAGCAGTAAACACCCATACTAGGAAAACAGACCTAGCTCAAATAAACAACCTAATGCTTAACTTTAAACTCCTAGAAAAAGAAGAGCAAGACAAATCAAAAGCTCATTCAAGGGAGGAAACTATAAAGATCAGAACAGAAATGAATGCAATGGAGACTAAGAGAACAATACAAAAGAAATCAATGAATCAAAGAGTTGGTTTTTCAAAACAATAAATAAAAGTGATAAACCCTTAGCCAACCTTATCAAAAAAAGGAAAGAAAAGGCTCAAATTCATGAACCACCACAAATCCAGAGGATCATCAACACCTACTTCAAAAACCTGTACTCTAATAAAATGGAAAATACAGAAGAAATGGACAGGTTCCTAGATGCGTATGAACTTCCAAAGTTGAACGAAGAAGATATAAGAAGTCTATATACCCCATTACATTTAGTGAAATCAAAAATATAATTAAAACATAACCAACAAAGAAAGCCCAGGTCCTGGTGGCTTCACTGATGAATTCTACAAGACAGAGAAGAACTACTGCAACTACTTTTTTTGTTTTTGTTTTTGTTTTTGTTTTTGTTTTTGAGACAGGGTCTCACTATGCAATTGAGACTCACCTGGAACTCATTATGTAGACCAGGCTGGTCTGGAACTCACAGCGATCTTTCTGCGTCAGCCTCCCAAGTGCTGGGATTACAGGCATGCGCCACCACTCCTGGCCTGCCACTAGTCTTTAAACGTCAATGAAATTGAAAGGGACGAAATACTTCCAAATTCATTCCTTGAAGCAAGTATTACTTTGATTCCAAAACCAGGGAAAAACACAACCAAAAGAGAAAACTATATGCCAATCTCCCTAATGAACATAGATGTAAAAATCCTGAATAAGATGCTGGCAGAACACAGAATACAGATCATCAAGAAGATCATACACCCTGACCAAGTCGGATTTATCCCACAGACGCAATCATGGTTCAACATATGTAAATCCATAAATGTAACACAATATATCAGTAAAGTCAAGGACAAAAGTCTATCATCATCTCAATAGATGCAGAAAAAGGATTCAACAAAATCCAACACCCATTCATGATAAAAATCCTACAGAAAATTGGAATAGATGGTCTTTATCTCAACCTGATGAAGGCTATCTATGAAAAGCCAACAGCCAATAGCATACTTAATGGTCAAAAAATGAAAGCCTTCACATTAAAATCAGGAACAAGACAAGGATGTCCACTATCACCACTCCTGTTCAATGTAGTTCTGCAAACATTAGCCACAGCAATTAGACAAGAGAAAGAAATAAAAAGAATAAAGATAGAAAAGGAAGAAGTAAACTGTCATTATGTGCTGTTGATAGGAAACTTTACATGCAATACACAAAAAAACCCTGCCAAAAGACTACTAGACTTGAAAGATTCATTATAGCTGGATACCAGGTCAACACCAAAAAATCAACAGTCTTCCTGTACACAAATAACAGATTCACTGAGAGAGAAATTAGGGAAACAATTCCTTTCATAATAGCATCCAAAATAATGAAACATCTAGTAATCAATCTAAGGAAGAAGGCAAAAGACCTCTACACTGAAAACTACAGCACTGAAAAAAAGAGATAGAAGAGGATATAACAAAATGGAAAGACATCCCTTGCTTCTGGGTAGGAAGAATCAAAGTAGTGAAAATGGTCATACTTCCAAAACTGCTATACAGATTCAATGTAATCCTGATTGAAATCCCAAAAGTATATTTCACAGAACTTGAGAAAACAATCCAAAAATTCATTTGGAACCAGAAGAGACCTAGAATGGTAAAAGCCATTCTAGCAAGAGAGACATGGCAGGGGGTATCACAATTCCCAACTTGAAACTATATTACAAAGCCACTGTGATTAAACAACAACAACAACAAAAATAGCATGGTCCTGGCAAAGAAAAAACCCAAGGATCAATGGAATACATTAGAAGATGCAAAAACAACACCAGACATACTCAGCTACCTCATCTTTGACAAAGGAGCTGACCATCCTCCTAGAGGAAAGAGAGCCTCTTTAATAAATGGTGTTGGAAAAACTAGCTTTCACCTTGCCAATAACTCAAACTATGTCCCTATCTTTCACAGTTCATCAAAATAAAATCCAAGTGGATTAAAGATCTAAGTATCAAAACAGAAACATTAAACTTACTGGAAAATAAATTAGGTAGAATTCTCGAAGACATTAAAACAGGAAAAGACTTAGTGAACCAATCCTCAGCAGCACAAGAACATGCACAAAGAATCAACAACTGGGATATCTTTGTATTAATAAGGTTTTGCAGTGCAAGAGAAACCACCAACAAAGCTAAGACACAACCTACAATGTGGGGAAAAAATTTTACCAGCTACTCTTCTGACAAAGGACTACTATCTAGAATATATAAAGAACTAAAAAAAAAAAATCAGATCCCCTAAATATAAAGACCTGATTTAAAAATGGGCATCTGAAATGAACAGACATTTCTCAGACAAAGAAGTAAAAAGAGCAAATAAATATGTGAAAAAATGTTCAACATCACTGGTCACGCAAGAGATGCAGATGAAAACAACTCTGAGATTCCACCTTACTCCAGAAAGACCGGCTGCTATCAAACTTCAACAACAAATGCTGGCAGGGTTGTGGGGAGAAAGGAACCCTTCTCCACTGCTGGTAGGAGTGCAGACTGGTGCAACCACTGTGGAAATCAATATGCAGATACCTCAAACAACTAGGTTTAGAGGCCCCATGTGACCCAGCTATTGCTCTGCTAGGTATCTTTCCAAAAGAATTTAAAGAAGTATACCACAGTGATATATGCACACCCATGTTTATAGTACCACAGTTTGTAATATCTAAACCTTGGAAACAACCCAAATGCCCATCAACTGGAGACTGGATAAAGAAGATGTAATTTTTCTAAAAAGTGGAGTACTACTCAGCCATAAAGAATGAGAAACTAGAGACATTCACAGCCAAATGGATGCATATTGAGGACATGCTCTTAAGTGAAATAAATAGGAATACTTGAGTAAATACCAAATAGTTTCTCTGGTATAAAAAACTAAAAATGTATATAAGGTTCAAATCGTATAACTAAGAGTATGAAATAGGAATAAAATGGTTAAAGGCAACATGGAAGGGGAGGGGAAAGGAAATAATGGAAAAGAAAAAATATGAAAAAAGGAAAAAATGGAAACAAAGTCTTTGTAAGGAAAGGGTAAAGGGGGTGAAGGGAGGGGCAGGGTTATGGGGAAAAATAAGAACCAAGACGTATCATGTAAAGGTACAATATCACAATGATATTGTTTGCTTTAAATGTACTAATAACCTTAACAGGGAGAAAAAAACAACAATGCGAGGTTTTACTAATGGTAAGTGACATGAAAGCAAAGCTAGATGAGGGCCTAAATATCCACATTAAATGACAGTGCCTGAAATTTCCAAGTATCAAGAAGGGGCACGCTGGGCATGGTGGTGCATACCTGTAATCCCAGCACTAGGGAGGCTGAGGCAGGAGGATTGCTGTGAGTTCGAGACCAGCCTGAGCTACATAGTGAGTTTCAGTCAGTCTCACTACATAGTGAATTCCTGTCTCAAAAAACCACAAAAAAAAA